GGTCACTAATGGTGGACAGATTTCAGCAGAACTCCCAAATTAAGACAGACTAGGCAGCACAATTGGCCATTTACTTATGAAATAACAGGCCTCTGAAACCCCTATAAACAATATAGGAATATAGGAAGCTATATAGTATTAGAGGTAGAAGCCAGATTGAAAGTCACTCAAAATGAGGAGAAACAATTGCAAGCGTCATTTAATAATTGGAACGTGAAAGATGTGAAGGATGAATATGGTAAAACTTGTCAAGAATGACATTCCATATATGAAGATAGACATTCTATGTATTGGTGAACTAACATGGACTACTTTGATTCAGACACTCATATGATCTATTATACTGGAGATGAAAAATTAAGGAAGTATGGTATTGCATTCATAGTTAAAAAGACAATCCTGTCTTAAAATATAATGTGTGAGTAATAGGATGCTATCCATATGCATACAAGGAAAATCTGTTAATACAACTATTTTTAATATATGAAGTAACAACTAAAGCCAGAGAGGAAGAAATTGAGGATTTCTGTGAACTTTTATAGCATCAAATTGACCCACACTTGTAATCAAGATACATTAATTATTATTAGTGACTGGAATACAAAAGTTCAAAACAGGGTTCGGTGTAGGGGGCCATTGGGCTCCAGACAAATAAACATGGAGTCCATCTTCCACAAGAAACAAGAAGGCTCACTTTGTGCTCAACACTGCCTGAGCAATCTGCTGCAAGGGGAATACTTCAGCCCCTTGGAATTATCCTCAATTGCACACCAGCTGGATGAAGAGGAGAGGATGAGAATGGCAGAAGGAGGCATTACGTGTGAAGACTACCGGATATTTTTACAGCAGCCTTCTGGAAATATGATGACAGTGGGTTTTTCTCCATCCAAGTGATAAACAATGTCTTGAAAGTTTAGGGTTTAGAATTTATCCTGTTCAACAGTCCAAAGTATCAGAGGCTCAGGATTGATACTATAAATGAAAGATCTTTTATATGCAATTATAAAGAACACTGGTTTACAGTTAGAAAATTAGGAGAATAGTGGTCGGTCAAGAATTAATATCAGACACATATCTTGCCCTTTTCTTTGTTCAGTTGCAACAGGAAGGTTACTCTATATTTGTTGTTAAGGGTGATCTTGATATACCAGATTGTGAATCTGACCAACTCCTTCAGATGATCAGGGTCCAACAGATGCAGCGACTAAAACTTATTGGAGAAGAATTAGCGCAGCTGAAAGATCAGAGAGTCCAGAAAACAGATCTGGAACGAGTGTTGGAAGGAAGTGATGGGCCAGGAATGGTAGATGAAGATGAAGAGGATTTGCAGAGGGCTCTGGCCCTTAGTCGCCATGAAATTGACCTGGAGGATGAGGAGGCAGATCTCCGCAGAGCTTTTCAGCTCAGCATGCAAGGTAGTCTCAGAAATGCATCCCTTGATACCCAGCAGACATGAGGTACAAACCTTAATTCAGAAGAACTGCGGAAGAGAAGCCTACTTTGAAAAGTAAAGTAGTTGGTACAAGATTAAAATTGAATCTTTGTGGGGGGGTGAAACTTTGAAAAAATAGGGAACGAATGGTAGTCAGAAAGCATGGTCTCAGTGACAAATGAGGCTAGAGATAGAATGATTGAATTTTGTACATTCAGTGATTTATTCATCATAAATGTGTCTTTTAAGAAGCACAGATGGTGACTGTACATATGGACTTCACCTGATGGACTACATGGGAATAAGATTGAGTACGTTTGTGGGGGGGAAAAAAATCATTGGAGAAGCTCAGTATCAACAGTCAAATTAGGCCAAGTGTTGACTGTGGAACAAACCATTGGTTATTTGTGTGCAAGTTCATATTGAAGCTGCGTAAAATTAAATACGTCCACAAGGACCAAAGTATGACATTGAATCTATCCTACCTGAATTTACAAATTTTTTTTAAAATTATTTTTGTGTGAGTGTACTGTCAAATCAGATCTGACTGGTACAGGAGGAGATTGTCCCTCCTTCCCTGGCAGAGCATCTGGTGGATTCGAACCGTGCGCCTCTGGGATTGTAGTTGGAACTCCTTGCCACTAGGCCGCCAGAACCCTCCACATATCTTCTTAAGAACAGGAATGAGGTATTGAAGACTAGAGGAGTTGTAGGGTCACATCAAAGATATTATCTGGGAAAAAGCAAAAAAGTCATTATAACAACAGAGAGAGGAGAAAGGGAAAAAGCCAAAATGGATGTTTAAAGAGACTATGAAAATTTCATTAGAGTGACAGAAAACTAAAACAAAAGAGAAAAATGCCAGAGTGAAAGAGCAGATGTTAATGGGCATCTCAAGATGACAGAATTTTATAATGAAATGTACAAAGAGCTAGATAATTGCTACCTGGATTCTTCTTGAATATGAAGTGCTTTTTTTTTTATGTGTCTTTGTTGAGGACTTGGGTGAGTTAGGCAGTATTGTTGATTCTCTGTAGTTGAGAAAGTAGTCAGAAGCCCACTTCTCCTCACTACCTTCATGTCAGTTCTAACTTACAGTGACTGTCCATTGGTTTTCTGAGGCTGTAAATCTTAATGAGAAGACATTTTCCATTTTTCTTCTTTATTTGAAACCACTGGAGCACATAGTGTTTTGTTTTGTAGCACAATATCCTTTGGGTAGTGGGTTTTTCAACATCCTGTTTATCATTCTCCCAATTATTGTTAGTGTGTACAAATGTAAAATTCTCAGTTGGAAGTAATTTCCTCAAAATTTTGAAGGCAGTTCATTTGCTGTCTAGCTTCCAGAGTTTACATAGACCTGTTCAGTGCTTTTCTGAGTTCCAATCCAGTGTAAGTTATCTGGATATTCTCTTTTTTTTTTTTAATAATTTTAATGAACATTTACAGAGAATTTGGATTTCCATTCATTCATTGCTGCACTTCTCTACCCGCCCAGCCCTCTCCCCCCGCCCCCCAGTTCGCTCCTCTCTTTCAAAAGTAAAAGAAAGACTCCCTGGTACACAATCCCCCTGCACCCCTCCCACTGCCCCAAGTACATTCCACTCTGCAACCTTAATTGTGGATTCTTGTGATAACCATAATACCCTATCATACATCGCTTCTAAATTATTCAGTCCCTCATCTGTTACAGTGCAGTATACATAATTTATCCAGTTTTTCTCAGTCTTACCTCCACCCTGATATCAGTCCCATTTTACAGCAGTGGCACCATGCAATATTTGTCCTTTTGCGACTGAGATATTTCACTCAGCATAATGTCCTCCAGGCTCACCCATTTTGAATAATATTGAATAAGTTCCTTGTTTTTCAATGCAGAATAGTATTCCATTGTGTGAATATACCACAGCTTCTCTAGCCATTCGTTTGTTGATGGGCACCTGGGTTGTTTCCAACTCCTTGCTATTGTGAACAGAGCTGCGATAAACATGGGTGTGCATTGGATATTCTCTTAAAGAATTTAGATTTCTTTTTCTATTTTCCCATTATTTTAAATTTATCATTATGATGATTTCTTGGGGGTTTTTTCCATGTCTTGAATCATATTCACTTATTTTTAATAACGTTTGCTATTGAAAAACTCATTGCTATGAAGTTGTCCCTAACTCATAAAACCAGATAGGACAGAGTTTTAGGGTTCTCAGGGCTGTAAATTTTTTAGCAGCAGACAGCCGCATCTTTGTCTCGTGGAGTAGCTGATAGTTTTAAACAATTGACCTTCAGTATTCACTGTTGGATAGGACAGAGGCGTCCATTTATAGCTTCTGTACTTTTATTAACTTTCTGTTTTTAGTGAATACCTGTTGTGCTATTTTCAAAGTCTCTCATTCTCAGAAATATCACACAGTTTTCTTTCTGCTAGTCAACTTAATGGCAGCTAACAATGACAAACTTTCTATTTATGAAATGGTACCTTGATTTGTTGGTAATTTGTCTTCATTGAGTTTTAGGAGTCAGGTTGTGGGGATGGAGGATGGAATTTGTGGAGATTTGTTGTTACCTAGTTTTGTTATAAATGTTGGGGTTTTGGTTTACTGTCTGATTTTGTGTATTTTGATGTGGGGATCCAAAGATTCTTAGAAACTTAGCTGCTGCATTTGTTATGCCAGAGTGTCTAATTTTTCATGTTTTAAGTGCTATGGATGTTATTTGTTTTGGGTTTGATGTTCTTCTCTTAATTAGATTATAACATTCTTCCAAGTGATACTTGAATGAATCCGTTCAAGCACTGTCATGTGTTCAAAATTACCTGTATAGTACCTACCATAACACTAGGTGTATATATGCAGTAAACATTTTATAATGTGGCCTAATTAAATTTATGGCCCAGAATCATCCACTTGGCAGTTTATCTAAGGGTAATTCATAGGCCAGTTTGCAAAACTTTAATAGTAGGTGTAGCCGCTGTTCTTCCAAACAAAAGGAAAGCATGGAGTATTAACAGAGCTACCTGTTGATGAAATTAATTCATGTTTTATCTATGGTCAGCCTTTGGTTTAAACATTCTTGAAAAATATTGATGTAATTAATGTATTACTGGTCAAAAAAATTCTGCAAAAATTTAAGTTTTAGGGTAAACTAAACCAAAGCACAAGAAGACCCCAAGAACTTTATATTTACAAGAATAAAGGCCAGGAGTATGCATAGAGTATGATAGAATCTGAGAAGACTGTGAAGGGAACTGAGGAACTTAATAATGTCACTTAAAGGAAACATTAATTTTATGCATTAGGTAGTAATTTAGGAATCTTTTTAAAAATGGCCCACTTCTTTGCTCTTTTGTATGATGTCTCATAAAATTAGCTAAAAATTAGTTCTTGAAACACAGCAGAAACTATTAATCTGATGTGTTTTTAAAAATACTTTTAATGACAAGAACTTAATAGTTCGTATGTTTACTTTGGCATAATTGATTAAAAGACTCATTTTCAATTATGTGCATAGATTGTTTACTTTGAAATGTATTTGTTAAAATATTGCTCCTAATATGTTAAATTCTTTTTCACAGGCCTCAACAAATAATGAAAGCTCTAATCACAGTTTTGGAAGCTTAGGATCTTTAAGTGACAAGGAGTCAGAGGTAAGTAATTTTATATATAAAACTCTTTAAAGCAAAATTCAGAACAGCCAGTTTTCATCAATCGGTTTTTTTAATTCTTTTTTTGTTTGTTTGTTTTAGATCTTCATTAATTCTTATGTTAAAGTTTAATGATTTTTACATGTCTTATTGAAACATTTTGTTCTATCTTATGAAACATATGGAAAACAATTGGTAATAGAAAATAATATTCCTTTGTTAGGTAACGGAACATAGTAGACGTTCTGATTGGATCATTATTATCTATTCATAATCCATGAGATAAAGGTGCTTTTAAAAAATACTTTATTTCTGATTTCTATTTCTTATCATGCTTTCTTTCCATCTTGTTTGAGGCTAAGGAAAAGCTGTGTAGTTTCTGTGGTATAGAAACATGGTAGTATTACATGTTTTTTTTCTTACTTTGTAGAATCATACTGTTACCTTTTACTTTTCATGTTTAAAAATATCTGAAAACTTTACCCTTCTCTCTGCCACATGCCCATTTACTAACTCCATTGAGGAAATACATGAGATTTTTTTTATAGGCATTTGAATTCATGGTATGGTTCACTTTGACAGTGATATACTTGATCACATCTTTTTAAAATGTCTATACTGGAAGTTCTTCGGGTCTTAGTATTCTTTTGTTGATACTGCAAGTTCTTTTTTGTTGTTGATATAATATTTTATTTCTCAACATATTACTTTCTGATGTTTATTTTTGTAAGATGTGTATATGTGTTATATGTTTTCCCTGTTGATGTTAATCTTATTTCTCCTTGATAAAATTTAGTCTTTGTTCTGCTTGAGTTAGTGTATCTTAGGTAGATATATAAATGATAGTGATAGGCCATAAGCACTCGGTAACTCTTTGATGTTTGGCTTTGGTGTATTCAGTGGAGAGAGCAACTACCGAAGGTGGCATCTTTTCCAGTCCTGTGTTATTTGAAAGCATCTAAGGATTCTGTAGGTGGACAGTTTTGTGCAGGTATATGCAGGCACCCTGACACTCCAAAGGAGTGTGGCATAGGGCTCTGACTCATCAGGCTTTCCCTTCCACAGAGACAACTGGCAGGCAGCTGAAAGGACTGTGCAAGTGACGGGACTTTATCTGCAGTAGGTTGGTTCCCTTGAGGTAAGCGTTAGTAGCCCCTGTAGAACCAGTTTATCAGAGTTTAGTGGTTTTCCAAATTAATATATTTACTAAGTTCTTAAAAACCATAGATTTAGATCTAGTCAAAGTACAGAGTTTTAAAAATTATATCAAGAATGTTTTGACCTTACATTTCCTGGGCTTTGGAACATTTCTTGATATTTTCACAGAATTGGAAGTATTTAGTGATTTCATTAGGCATTTTGTATTAGGAAAGGTAATAGAACAAATTTTGATTTTGTACTTTATCTTTTATATTCACCAAATTTATTTTGAATAGGTTTTCAGTAGTACAGTATAACAATTAGAAACACCTGTAATAGTAGTAAAGCTTTTTCAGATTCTTCATAAGTATGTTGTTGTTGTTGTTGATTGCCATCGAGTTGAGCATGACTCATAGTGACCCTATGAACAAAAGACCTGAAGCCTTTCTATAATTATTATCGTTTCTCAAAGTTCATAGTGTTTCCAGAGGCATATTGTTTAGGAAGTGGATGCCACTCTTGCTTCCAGTAAATATCTATATATTCCCAATATATGTTAATAGATTCAGTGTTTAGAATGTCTTCAAAGAAATCAGCCAATAAGAAAATTTCACTGTCCTATAGGAAAATAGCAAAGATTACTATAGGTTATATTTTTAGTTAAAAATGTTGGTTATTGGATTGTTTTGTTCTTGCTGTTGTTTTTAAATTGACTATTTACAGTGGAATGTAACACAGGTAGTCAGTGGATGTACTTGGTTTTATTTATATAACATTTTTGAGAGATAGATACTATTGAGAAATATTGCTTTTGCTGGTAAGTGCTTTATTTAAATCAGAAGTGTTTGCAAATTAATGGCTACGTCAGGTGACAGTATTTTGGAAATTACTCTAGAGAATATATTTCCCTTAAATTTTGAAGAGGCAGCTTTTTCTTTTTTTCCTTTATCTTTTCATTTAAGAAGCTGCTCATATGGAGTGTAGTTTCCAGGTTTTATCTCTTTAGTTAGATACCTTAATTAATGAAGTCTATTGGCATAAAATTTCTTAATGCATCAAAATAAAAATACTCATTAAGTAAAAATTGTTGGGAGCAAACAACTAGAGACAGAAGTACTTCTGAATTTCTTAATATACCTTATAATATATTTAATAGTAAGATGTATTACATTGTCTTAGTGTCATTATATATTTTTTAATTCATTACATTTTTTTAATTTTCATCTCAAAAAATGCTAAAAAATACATTTTTCAAAAAAATTTGTTGTGGAGTTTGTTTGGTAGGTGGAACCACCTACCATCTACTCCTAAAGCAGCTATTCTGTATTCTTGCAGCTTTTCTTCATACTTACTTCTATAGTTTATTATCACTAAATTTTATTTTGTGTAAAATGAACAAGGGCCATGTGAGGAGTGCCTCATCTGACCTTTACCAACTTCAAAGGGGGAAACTATCCCCGCCCTAACATCAGTAACACAAAACCAATTCCCATGAGGTTAGACATGCCCCCCCCCCCCCACACACACACACACTCATGCCTCTTTTTGCTTATGTCAACACCAATCTTACTGCTTTGTTGAGTCCAGAATCTGATGTGATAGTTCACAGACCACACAGAACCATATTGGGGGAGTCAAAAGTTTATAGTTCAGATTAACATTATAGCCAAGACCGCTCTCAAATGTACACGCGGGCACCTCAGTCTCCAGCCTAGTAGTGGTCCCAAGCTCACAGTCCTGCCAGTATTGGCTCCCCTCCACACCTCAGTGGGTGTCTCACTTCATTTCTACAGTTCACCCATTGCTGTTGCTGCCACTACTTTTCCTAAGTGTGTCCTACATTTTATCAGGTTGGGGGATGTCTCTATTCTCTGGCTGGGGAAGAAGTCTATCTCTTCTGGTGGGAAAAGAATTTCTATCTCTGCAGCTAGAACTCTTCAGTTTCTTGGCAAGACTAGCCAATCCCCTTGTAGATTGTTGAGATAGACCAGTTGCCCTATCCTCATAATCTTACCCATCTTAATAGCAACATCAGATAAGAGTAAAAGGAATCATATTGAGATATAAACTCCATAATTGTCTTTCTCTTCACTCAACTTACATATTAATTTTTAATATATTAAAATTCTCCATCTTGTAATAAAAGTGTATCCTACTGTTTTATCAACTGGACATACCTGTTGACTTCTCTTGGGATTTCTGAGGATTTTTAGTTCATCAGTTATTTTCTTTCACTACTTTTCAGTATTTTCCTATCCAGTATTATTTTTAGGGCCTCAGAACTGTTTTCATGAGTCTTCTTACTATCAAAACAGAATATTGTTATTGTTGTGTGTCATCAAGTCTAAAATGATGACCCTTCAGTGTGTTTTTCAGAGGCAGTAAAAAAAAAAAAAAAGAAAAGAAAAAAAAGGAGATTGCCCTCCTTTTCCTACAGAACAGCTGGTGGGTCCAACCATGTACCTTTAGTATTGCAGTGCAGCTTATCACTAAGCCACAAGGGTTCCCCTTTAAAATGAAAGAGTTTCCAATAAGTCACTATTCAGTTTATTAAACCATAGCAACTGAAATTTTTCAGTTAAGTACTTTAGTATATATGAATTTTCATTTATTTATAAATGTAGACTGAAAGTTTTTATTCTTGCTTAGAAAGTCTTGGTAACAAAATGGATAGAAATTATTGATTTTGTTTTGTGTCACTTTCAAGTCTGATCTACTAGATCCAAAAATCAGTGTATTTTCAATAAGCTTTTACTGCATATCTGTTACTTTGTAATTTCTGTGCCCAACCACAGGGAATACAAAAATGAACAAGATCCAGGATATGGTCTGAGATTATTGTGAGAGGAAGGAAACTTGAGACTGTGGGTTTGAGGAAAGAAAGTAATTATGTGCAGGATGGGAAGAGCTGTTTACTGAGATGGTGGTTGTTAAGTGCCATCCAGTCGCCTGCAACTCATTGCCACCCTTTGTACAATAGCTCTGAACTCTGCCTTTATGAAGTCTTAGAATATCTAAGGGTTATTACAAAGATGGTTTGTGGGCCTTTTCTGCTAAAGTTCTTTTCCGGATTAGAGAAGGAGGTTAAGTTTATTGGCTATCAATGTTCTTTTCCAAGTTTTAGAACTTTCTTAAAATTCTCCCCATTGACCCCCACCTACTTACAGATCTCTTTGAAGTACCTTTCCCTGTCTCAACACAAAGACGACTCGTCTCACTTTTCCTCAAACGTCTAGTCGATGACTGTTCTCATCCCAGCTGTATCACACGATGCTAAGATAAATTGTCTTCTAGCTCATTTGGAACTTAGGGATTATTAATGACTGTGCAGTCCTCTTAACTTTCCTTTTATATATCTGTGTTTCTCTGCATTATTTCATTTCTTACTGAAATTGAGATACTTGTTATTAACTACAAATATTGTTAAATTGTGTCCTCTTTAATGCCAGAGAAATGCCAAAACTAAACTCATTACAATTTAGTTGACTCAAACTCATGACAACCTCGTGTATTACAGAGAACTGCTCCGTAAAGTTTCATTGGTTGTAATCTTTAAGGAAGGAGTTTTTCAGGCCTTACTTCTGTGTTGATCTGAACTGCCAGCCTTTAGGTTAATAGACATACACAGGCTGTTTTACATTACTTGAAGACCTTTGAGAACCACACCTGTGGTTATAGGGTCAGTTCTGATTCTTGGTAGCAGTGAGTAGTAAAGAGTAGGACTGTTTCATGGGATTTTCTTGGCTGTAATCTAAATGAAAATAGGTTGTCAGTCTTTTCATCAGTGCTGTTATAGGGTGAGTTTAAATTACCAGTGTTTACATTTCATTTGATGAGACTGTTGGCTCTAGAATCTTTAAAAA